AAAAGCTTTCAATAAAGATGGAGAATATCAAAAAAGATAATGTAGAAAACACGTATCACGAGTACTCCGTTCACGAGGGGTCGTTGCCACTAACTCTTGGGGCTGAAACAGGGATTTTCCCTTCACAACACTTTAGGATGTAAGTGTCGTCTCCTCTAGTACATGGTCAGCTGCAACGGAGTTTAGCCTCCCTAGCGAATGACTGTGCAGTATGTATTTTTGTTTTATACCCAACGGTTTGCATAGAATTATTTTTAAAGCTTCCATGACATAAACTGTTGCAGTCTTAGTCACTGAATGAGACAACCTACGCTCATATTGCAACAACCTCTAGTCATGGCCGGAGGCGTGTTATTTTTTCGTAACACGGCGAGCCCAGATTCCAGTATGAACTCATTTTCATACATAACGAGATATACGTAAAGCCTGCAAAGAGGTCACAAACAATTAGACTTTGATTATTTATTGTTTTGCCTCGATAATATAGGCAACAAAACTGAATAAACTGAGACTTGAACCCATGTACACCCAGGGAAGGGAAGATAATAGAAAAGGAAAAACAAAAAATACATAAGGAGGGTGGAGAGGAGGTAGAGAAGGAAAAACAAAGAAATACATAACGGAAGAGAAGAGAATACATTTATATGGAAAAAACAAAGAAGTACATGATGAAAAAGAAGAGGATAGATTGAAGGAAAAACAAAGAAATACATGTCGAAAGAGAATAGGGTAGATTTAAGCTAGCTGGCTCTCTAATTAATTAGGGCTTCAAACACCTACAATCAGGGGCGGCGATTTCTTTTCATGACCCGGGGGACAAAATGTGAGGGATGAAGGAACATATTGAGTAAGAGGGGCCAGTGGCGTAATGAGCAAAAAAAGTTGGGGAGGGGGGTGTGGGGGGCTAAAGTATTTACGATCAGGTGGAGCAAAGCGAGCGAAGGAAGTGGAGCTAAAATTGGCGTGGGGTCCAGGGGCAAAGCCCCAAGAAGCTTAAGGGGTTTAGGCATTTAATTACAGTTAGATGAGCAGTCAGGGTTTTAGGCATTTAATAACGGTCAGATGAGCATATTGTGATACCTTATTTGTGATACTCGCAGGTCACTAGTTGGAGTGAGGTCTAGAGGGCAGAGCCCCCGGTAGCTCAGAGATTTTAGGCATTTAATAACGGCCAGATGAGCAACCAGGGGCCCGCCTAAGAGCCCTTCTTTGGGTACAAGGGGTAGAGCCCCTGGGAGCTCATGGAAAAATAATTCCATTTTAGCAACATTTGTAAATCGCTGGTATCAAATTAGAAATAAACCCATTTTTTAATTTTATTGGGGGGTCACTGCCACCCCCCCCCCCCCATCAGTATAGCTCTATGCTACCCCTCACAGGTTTTTGAAGTTTTTGTATTACAAAATTACATTCTTTGCAAAACTATTTTTTGGTGCTTTTTTGAACCCATTAGTGATGTTTTCCTGGCACCTACTGACATCTACTAATACTGCGTAGGTCTAGACACATGATAGTATTTTTCTATGCACATCACATTTTCACTTGGCAGCCCAAGGGGGGAGGGGGGGTTAAACCCCCTAAACCGCCTAGATACGCCCCTGCGACATCTTTGGGCTTCTTCTTCTTCTCAATATTGATTTACTGGTCGAGTTACATTATTTGATGGTCTTTTAGAATCACCAGATTTCAGAGGATTCACACTTTTCACAACGAAAAACTTCTCCATGTTTCAGTCCTTGCGCGATCGTCTACAGCTCCGGCAGATATTGGGCGTCAGCGTGCTCACCGGTACTACCGGCCCAGTATAGCCACTGCTGACGGTCGCACTAGCTGCACTGCGCTCTTTCGTTATTTGTATCTGTAATACTCATAGAGATGGGAGAGAAAGCGCCATCTAAGTTCCATTTAATTGGTGTAAGGTTTAAAAATTGATACTCAATATTGTGTTAAAGTTATATTAGAAAAGATAATCTTTATTTTATAATTCCACGGGGGCGATTTTTAATTTTGCAATCGCCCCCGTGAGCAACCTGACGGGGGCGATTATGGAGCTCACGGGGGCGAATCGCCCACCGCCCCCGTGTATTTTGAGCGCTGACACATATATACATGTTAAAAGATTTTTTTGTACAATTACCAATTCAATACAAAAGCATTCTGAGAACATAGAATGTGTTTATAAACTATGAAGGACATATTCCGGCCACTTTTAGAGGGAAAGCTCATTATTATTCATTATTTCTTTTTTCTGAGAAATTCTTCGGACTGTTATTCCTTTAAAAACAAACATTCTGAACCATATATTCATATTCTTGTTTTTCATCTCCTCTCTTTCGAGTTTTGTTTTCGTTTTGTTTTCTTTTCTTTTGTTCTTGTTTTTTTGTCTGGCCTTCTTTCAATTCTCTCATCGTACTGATAATTGCCGTTTGAGCAGATAATGATTGGGATAAGCTATGATTGACATTTTAGTCACATCATGCAGAGTACATCTACTCACGTTTCTTCTTTCTCCTCTTCTTCGTCTTTTTCTTCTTTATCTTCTTCTTCTTCCCCTTTGTCGCATTTTCTTGTCGTTAAAAATTACCGATTGAAAATGCAGACAAAGATTATGATAAGCCATTATTGACATGTTAAGCTGCATCATCTTATCTTTATACATTCACCACATAATCAGCCGTTATCAGCGTGTCTATTAAACATCAAAACGTCAGTCCAGACTAGCCTATACACTAGTCTGCAGCCATCAGTGGCGTAGATACGGGGGTCACGGGGGAAACTGGTGGTATAGGGCAGAGGGCATGTGCCCCCCCCCCCAAAAAAAAAACAACAACAACAACAACAACAACAACAACAACAACAAAGAAATTGAAAGAAAATCAGATCCCTCCCCCCCCCCACACACACACACACAAAAAAAAAAAAAAAAAAAAAAGAGGTGAGAGCGAGGAGAGAAATGAAGAAAAAAATGCACAAGAACGTGAAATGATATGAGGAGAGTAGCTCGAAAAGCGCTCTTTACAGATTATACTATTATGTGAATAAGTAACGTGGGCCCCAAACCTGATAAGTCCTAAATGAAATCTGTTGTAAGAGGTGCATTAAACGATCATCGAGAAAGCTTTGAGTAATCCGATCTGAGTCCTTGTTGTAGGTTAGGCCTACAGCAGAGTGTAAAACATAAATGGAAATAGGAGTGAAAGATAGAAGACCTACTGGAAAAGAGACAGAGAGAGTATGTGTACGTTTGTCTCTTTCACTTTAAAATGCAAATTGTCCCACTCTAAAGGGGCAAGGAGTTGATCCCCTACCGGCCTTCCGTCAATCCGCCCTTCCCCCTGAAATATTGAACGTCTATAGCACAACGTTTGCCAACCGGAGAGCCGCGAGTCAATATATTTTGAAATAAGGTAAACTTCATGAAACAAAGTATCAGAAACTGCGACACGCCTATAGATACCATTAAGGTATTTTGATAAGAGGCAATGACATTTAAGAGATGGTAAACTGCATTTGTCCTCGCTCGCTTCGCTCGCTCGCAAAGTAGAAATAGTTTTAGGCAGCGAGGTCCATCCGCATAATGATATGACGATATTCGGGCAGCATGACGCCCGAATATAACCTTATTTGTTTTATTTTTATATCGAAATAAAATTCTTACCAAAATTCTTACCAAAATTCTTCCCCTAAATCGTTCCTTTCACTTCTTGCAAAATTGATAAATCAGGATGATTCGTGGCAAAGAGATGACCGGATGTGTATTTTTTGACACTTTATCTAGTGTATATTAATGAATAAAAAACATCTTTGCAATAAAAATATGCTCTCAATATTCGGGATCCGGATGGTATATTTCCGGGCAAGAGGCCCTCACGACCTTTTGTTAATTGAATTCTCGATTCTTTGTGAAGCGAAAATCTTGAAATATTCAAATTGTTTCACGAGTTTCCTGTGGGTATACATCTATTATGGAGACAGGTGATTTTCCTAGGACTTGGCCTAGCATTCATATATTCATGATTCAGCACACAATGTGCCATGACGTCATAATACATACCGTGTTTATTCAAACGTCAAGAATTCACTGTGCCTATTCTATTTAGACCAGAGACATACAATATCCCTGTTTACACAGCAAATATTTTTCAAGTAGTGAAATGCCTTACAAGGACTCAATTTTCAAGCCAGGGTATGAGAAAATACAGTTCTCCTGAAAAATATATTTCCCGTCATCCAATACCAACCATCATGGTCATTGTGTTCACAAAGCTCTCACAATGACGACGGCATATGTCATAAGGCCAAATAAACTTTGTTATGATAATCCCTTGTTTCTTGTCCCCCTCCTCTTTTCCTTTTTATTTCGGCCCGCCTCAATGATTTTGTTATTTGATAACTTTGTTTTGAAATGAAATAAATAAAGATCTCAGGGCATCTAGACATTGGAGTTGACAAAACTCGTTAATGTATTGCAAAATGCCACTTTGTTTAATTCTACGTAGTGGTGGTAGTGCATGCACGAGAGAAATTGAATGTTAAAAATGTGTGATGCTATTAACCAAATATGTATCCCCCCAAAAAATAAAAATAAATAAATAAAATACATGTATCAAGAAAAATTGAAAGCTTTTCAGCGTTACTCCCCCCCCCCCCCCCCCCCTACACGAAAATATGCCCGTACGTCGATACACCCAATGATAGGTCACTGTACTGGAAGGATTGTCGGGGCAAACTCCTTACTCGGGAAATTACATGCACATTTGCAAGGCTAGTGGAGGACGTGGGAGGTACGTGTAGGTCAGACGTCCTTTTCCCCCTTCTCTCTTTCCTTTCTCTTTAGTCTTGTCACTTTCTTTCTTCCTTTTGTCACCATTCCCCCTGTAGCGAGACCATTGAGTTTGAGGGAAACGTTGACAAATGCTGAGTCAAAAATATAGTCCACCCCCCCCCCCCCCACCCCCACCCCCTTGACAGGACAGTTCAGTTCAGTTCAGTTCAGTCTTTCACAGATAAAGCTCACATGACACGATTTGTGATCCATCGTTGAACATTGGCAGCTCGGTCTGGGCGAATCGTTGGACATCGGCCTGGCCAATGGCCACTAGATGACATTTCTCATTCTCCGTCATATCCCTAGAACCGATCCGTTTGTAGAGCTTCATGACATCCGGGTTCCATTCAACGACAGTACCCTGGATACACTATGAACATGACTGACAAAGAAAGCGGACAAAATGTACAGTTCCTCAGGTAGACAAAGGAACATCCCTTCACTGCTGTTTTCTGCATTACTGAATATTTCTTGCCATCTCCCCTCATCTGTAATGATAAGGTACCCTTTGTCTGTCTCTTCATCTCTTCAACTCTCTCTCTCTTTCTCTCTCTCTCTATATCTCTTTCCGTCTTCCTCTCCCGTCCCCCTTCTCTTTCTTTCTCTCCTTCTCTCTCTTTGTCATCACTCCAACTCTCCCTCTCCTACACCTCTCCCTATCTCTTTCTTTTTTTAACAAAAATTTGAATCTGATCAATGAATTTTTATGAAATGTCTATATGTTTGATTATTGATTTATGTCATATTTTGTGTTATTTCAATTTGAATTGCAATTGTATTGTACATAACCTTGTGAAATGGATCGCAATTCAGCCATTGGCTGCGATGATCTTTTTAATAAAAACCATTTCTATCTATCTTATGTAAAAATGTGTTGAACAGGTGTCACCTTTTTACATAATAGCAGTGAAGGGATGTTCCTTTGTCTACCAGAGGAACTGTATATTTGGCCGCTTCCTTTGTCCGTGATGTTCATAGTGATAGCCTTGCAACCACTCTCCTCAGAAATCCGCAAATATTGAAAGAGTTCACGGAGGCAGACAGTCAAACAAACGAGGAGAGATATCTACTATTGTGAAGACAGCAAGATCTGTTAACCGCTTCAAGACACTACTGAAGTCCCATTATCCTTTTGCAAAGGGAACAGTGGATTGTTTCGGCCTTTTTTTTGTTTACAGTGGCCCACACAGGTGGATCTAGTATAACTGTGCAGCGTTTTTGGAACTACAATACAAGGAAAATGCACCATATCGAACATCTGTGGGATTAGATTGCATTGGGTTGGATAGGAGAAAAGAGAAGGGAGAAAAATATGAGTGAGTGAGAGATAGAGAGAGAAGGTCAGAGAGAGAGAAGGGGGTTGGAGAAAGAAGAAAATAGCGGAAGAAAATGGGGAACGTTTTATTTGGGATCTAATGGTATATACTAAGGCTAAATAAACTGAAACAATTCATTACAAGTCATGTACTAAAAGCTAGGTGAACCAGTTCACAGACATTCAATCTATTGAGGTGTCGCATGAAAATATGATGTTTCACAGTAACACCTGTATACCTGTTACACCAGGTGTTACCGACTTCAGACCGACTCCAAGCAGACAAGATTCTCTGCCCTAAACGTAATGCAATACATGAATTTTTCGTTCGGTCTGTTGTCGGTCTGTTGTCGGCCTAGTGTCGGCCTGGTGTCGGTCTGTTGTCGGCCTAGTGTCGTCCTGGTGTCGGTCTGTTGTCGGTCTGTTGTCGGCCTGGTGTCGGTCTGTTGTCGGTCTGTTGTCGGCCTGGTGTCGGTCTGTTGTCGGCCTGGGCCCTGGGGTGTCGGTCGTGTTGGTGCATGTGATCAAAGGACAAGATCTTGTTTTAGATATATTGATTTTGAAGACGCGTAGGCCAAGTCCATAGTTATACATACCTGCGCTACGGCGTGTAACAGAGTTATACCGAGACCAGTACCTGGTAAACAAACATGTGTAAACTTGAGTGCTATATACATATACAGGGTGTCTCATAAACAATGCAACGACAATTTGATCTAAACATCTTAACAATTATCCGGCTATTCCCAGTGAAATTACATAAATAAAGTAGTAGTAGTATCCTGTGAACTTACAAAGAATTTCATTGAAAACTTCAAAGTTATGATCATTTTTGTGAAACTTATGTAATCGTTTGACCGACTGGATACGTAACATAACACGTTGCAGAATAAACATGTTTTAAACTGTTTAATAATTCGGACCAAACAACAATTATGTTTCGCTCAAAAAACCCGGCTTTCCAGACAATTAAAAGCAATGTATCAAGATTTGTTATACAAATGAGAAGCAAGTGAGTATACTTTCAAACAAAACTGACAAGTTTGGAGGGGGGAAAAAATAAATTCTGTGAGAATGTCGGGGGGGGGGGTTTATAGTATAATTTGTATAACGATTCTCGAACCATTCTCATGTATTGCATAAAACTTACCATTGATGGTAACTTTGCCATCAATGGCAACTACCATTGTAATAGCTAGGGGTCAACAGCCAATCAAAATCAAGGTTTTCATGGTAGTTACCAGTGATGGTAAAGTTACCATCAATGGTAAGTTTTGGTGGTATTATACTAGATGTATATTCTATGTTCAAAGAATAATATTGTTTGTAATATTCCTTTTTTATTATGTCAACTATATTGTTCTGAGAAGGTTGAAAATGAATAAATAGTTATAATTCTAATTACGATTCCCGAATCATTCTCATTGACTATACCTTGATATCTTGATGGTGTTACTTACCCTTTCTTTCTCGGTTAAAAGTATAATCATTTTGTTGTAATAATTATTATTCTATTATCTTCAATTATATTGTTCAGAAAATGCTTTTAATATAATACGCTAATATCGCTCTGAAAAGTTTATCAATTACATGAAGAAAACAAAATTGTGTACAGATATAGGAGTATCAAATCAACCTTTCAAAAAAGAACTTGACCTTACATTCGAAGGGCTGGTGATAAAGGAGTATGAAGAAAATAAAGAATAAACTTATGCACGGAGACCAGGTCGGACTTGGGCCCTTTTCTATGCGAGCGCGTACGAGTGTATCGACTATTATAGTCTACTTTTATGTCTCTTTTGTTAAAATAGAGACGGAAGTTAAATTTCCCAGTTTCTCTTAAAGATAAAGGTGAGTTCTGATTGCATCGTGAAAGAAAAGGAGTGGAATGGATCAGAAAAAAGTTGATCATGTAGCATGTAAGTATTGGTGTGTACTGCAAATTTCTGGAGTCATCAAAATCATGATACATTTGGCCGAGTCTTGGTAAAGTAACAAGCACTGTACACATAAAGATGTGTATGGGACTACACAAATGGTGTCGGGGCTGCTAACCTTGATTTCCTAATCTTTCTTTGCTCATTACTCAGCCAGTATACATTTTCTACCAAAATTGTTTGACAAATGACATTTATTTGTAATCTTGAACAGTCAGTGTAATTTTCGGTTGATTCTGTGGGAATTAATTTTCTTTTTTTTTTACCAGAACTCACCTTTATTTTAAACGGAAGTAATGTTTGGATCTTATATCTTGAATACAGTATAGTACTTTTTGCTCCAGTTGTGATCAAAGGTTGTGACGTTGCACATTAAAATTGAAATTGAAAAGGTATTTATCGTGTTAAAACATCTTCTAAGCCTTTGCACTGATAGCAGTAGAATTTACACTTCACATACAATGATTTACGTTTTGCTCCAGTTGTGATCAAGATAGCGAGATGTTGCACATTGAAATTGACAATGAAAATGTAAACAATTGTACCAAAAAACACCTTCTCAGCCTTTGCACTGCGTGCAGTAGACTTTACACTTCACATACGTGATGTACCGGAACATTCTGATCTTGGCTGCCTTCCAGAATATGACCTTTCAATTCACATGTTAATATATTAAAAAAATTATTTTGTCATCAAGTAAAGTTGAAAAGATAATCAGAGGTGCCTAAATATGGGTGATTTCGAATTTCTCGGGAGGGGAATGCAGCCCTACTCTCCCCCCCCCCCCCCCAACTGACACACACTTACACACGAACACACGACCTTTGCACATTAAATCACTCGATTACGACATCCCGATAGTCTAAAAAGACCAGTGTTTATCATGCACCTCACCTCGATCTGCGCAATTACCCTCTAGACATTCTTTTTAGAATCTCACTATGTTGATCTTAAAATCAAACACATTTCAAGGAGAGGGCACATTTCTAGTGAACAAAGTATTGAAAATATCCATTGTATAACTGTTTGCCTACCTCTGTATTCAGAATTGATATAAAAATCTTCAAGATAGAGGAGTCGCCCCTTCCAGGAGCAGAAGCCCATGAAAAAGAGGGCGTAGCCCAAGATAGACGATTCCTCATCAGCCTCCCTGTCTTCTAGGACGATGCTCTCGAACACAGGATTATCTCCAAACCCATCTCGACGAAGATCTGAAGATGATGTAAATCAATGTGTAAAATCAACATAGTTCTGGCAATGAAAATGCAGGAACGAAACAAAAAATTATAATAATAAATTTCTTTAAATTAGACGGGTTTAGGTTCATCAAGGTGTACTCATGGCCTTTTGGAGTTTATTTAGTTGAATTACTGATTAAGAAATTCTCGTGCTTTCTGTATAACAAAAAATTAAAATGGAGATGATGTTTCAGGCCATTCAAAAATGGATGGTAAACCTATATGATTGCATCTTAGCAGGTGACATGCGTTTAACGTTTTTTCTAAGTAGCAATTGCATGAGATAAGTAAATATAGGTCATAAAGTAGAAGCAAATGGTAAAGTTGTTGCTATGCCGTTTGGCAGTGCGTAATGTTTGAAATTTCAAAAGGTTCCAAACGCTGCCATACATGTATACACGATGTAAGGGGAACAAATTTACCGAAGGTTCGGTACTCCAAACTTTCATCATTCTGAAGGTTCGTATTTGAAAAAAAAAGATCATGATCATGATGATATATGGCTTATACTTCCGAAAAACGAAATAGGGTTCATACTTCCGAAAATGAAATAGGGTTCGTAATTCCAAAAATTAAATATTGTTCATAATTCCGAATGCCCAGCACGAACTTAATTACAATATTTTATTAATGAAACAAATATTTGACCTGTATCGAACAAAAGCATTTTATTACCAAACTTGTCCAATTAGGGTAAAAATATAGAAAAATTACTTCGTCTTGGACAAGTTTGGTTTAAAAGTAGAATACGTCCAAAATTGGGTGGATACATAATTACCCTGGTGGCACATTTTTACCCATTATTTTCAAATGTGGGGATAGAACCATTTATCGTTTTTATGTACCTTCGGAATAACGAACCGCATTTCATTTTTAAGTATGAACCCTTAGGCCCGTTGCATAAAACTTATCATTGGTGGTAACTTTGCCATTAATGGTAAACTTCCATGGAAACTTTGCCATTAATGATAACTTCCATGGAAACTTTGATTTCGTTGGATATTGAGTGATGTTTCTTTGGTAGTTGATAATAATGGCAAACTTACCATCAAGGGTACTTTTTACGCAACGGGGCCATGGTATGGGAATTTCGGGTTGCGGAATTACGAACCTTTCGAATTTAAAGATATTACTAAGTTTTGGTATGGGGTCATGAATTCGGTTCAAATGAACTATTGGAAGCATATTCATTCACAAAAAATGTGATTTCATAGAAAATTGAACGATTAATGCTAAACATAGATTTATATTTTTGTAATTTTCCACACGCAACACTACTATTTTCAGAGTTGAAATGTTCTAAACCAGTTAATTGCCATGTACAGTATTACGCATGTATTTCTTGTTAAGTATGTAATGTTTTAATCATGTAAAAGTTTTCATTTTCTTATACTCCCTCCCCCTTTCTTTCTCTCCTCCGCCATACCTGTCCTTTTGTATTCATTATTTCACTGTGAATTGTGCTGTATATTGTATGCATGGGTGTTGATCCGTTGCGTCGTGCTATTCATCAGGGGGGTATATGATCTTACTGTCTCGTGCCCCACTGGTGACTGGGGTGGCGCAGCGGTTCGACGCCGGTGCCAAGAGTTGCATTATTATCTATAGTAGTTTATTATTAGTAAGTGCAATTTTACCTTGTAATAATTAATTTTGTAATCCATTGCGCAATTTAGTTTTTAGCTACGAAGCATGGAATTAATGAACATTTATTGTTTACATGTTTGATTGATTTGAATAAACCATTTATCTATCTATCTATCATCTATGCGATCCTACAATATTCAGTGATCTTTGTCGCGGTTGAAATCGAGTCTAAAGTGATGAAATTGTAAATCATAAACTCTTTTCGTTGTAAAGCTCCCTCTCAAGGTCAAGATATTATTTTAGCTATAAAACAATGTTTCTTGACTAAAATTGACCGATTGGGTATTCCCGTTTGAAAAATATATATCCCAACTACATGTACATATTCTGAGATTTTTATGATCGCAGCTACCATTTTATGGCCGTAGGCGCTATTTGAAAATTTTCGAAATTTACCGGAAGCACCGGTAAATTTTGATATTCAATTTTTCTCGAAAGCAGAAGTGTTTTAAGGGCTAACTTGTTTAGTACCTATAATACATCCACAGGGGCATCCACATATTTCAAAATTGTAAACAATCTTTATTCAGCCAATTTTCAAAATTCCCAACTTTGTATTACCTTTAATATGTGACTTCGGAAAGACGAACGTCCCGAAAGACAAGCGCCTCCCTTTAAAGCCCCACTGTCCTACTTGAAGCTACTTGCTCCCTCTATATAGAAAACTTCCCAAATCGGTGCCTGTTGGTCCCCCATGATCCTCTTTTTCTTATGTTAGTTGAGAGCTGAGTTAATGAGATAGCCACCTGTCAGTGACCTCGCTATGTGGTCTAATCCATTCTGGCCCAGTAGTGGTGACGGTCTTGAAAAGTATTTTCAGGGGGTTTAACCCGATTACTTTCTAAATCTCTAGAGAGACTTGTATCCTCTCACTGCTGTTAAATAAGATAAAGATTATGGCGAACTGAGTTGATGTTTTAAGTTTTGTATGAACTTTCTAATAACCTTAAAAAGAGGATAAAATGAGAGGAGAGAAGGTTGAGTTCTGGGACGAGGTGAAAAATAAGTTGTGAGCATTGCTCATTCTTATTATGCAAGTGTGGAAGAACATCAGTTAAGACATGTTCCCTAAAAAGCATGGCTCTTCAAATGCCTTCATATTCTAAAAATGCATGTAACATCGTAAAAATCGTGTAGTCCCATACACATCTTTCTGTGCAAGTGTTTGTAACTTTACCAAGACTTGGCCAAATTTCTTATCATTTTGATGATTCCAGAACCTTGCAATACACAAAAATTCTTATTTGCTAGATGATCAACCTTTTCTGGTCGGTTCCAAACCGTTTCTTTCACAATGCAATCGCATGACCAGAACTCAACTTCATCTTTAAGCATTGTTTCGAGTATATATTAGCAATTGCATGAGATAAGTAAAGTAAGTCATCACGTAGAAACATCGCAGTGCGTAGTGTTTAATAATTCAAAAGCTTCTGAACCTATAAGCTGGGATATATGGAAAATTAAACTGTGATTTGTATACCGAGGCGAAATTAAATGTGTTACTCCAAACGTTCTTAATTCCGGAAGCTCGTATTTCCAACAAAAACATGATAGTTTCATAATTCCGAATACGAAACAGTGTTTGTAATTCCCAAATTTAAATAGGCCTATGGTTCATAATTCCGAAAATGACATAAACTCTTAAAATATATTGGGTTAAAATATGCCCAGGACGAGATTAATTACAATGTTCTATCAATAACAAAAGTATTTAGTAAAAAATTGCACTATATCGAACAAACTTGGGGCATTTTCTTACAAGACTTGTCCAATTAGGGTAGAAATATAGAATAACTACTTCGTCTTGGGCAAGTTTGGTTTAAAAGTAGAATATGTCCAAAGTAGGGTGGATACATAATTACCCTGATGGCACATTTTTACCTTGTATTTTAAGAGTGGGTAAAGAACTCTGTGTCATTTTTATGAACCTTCAGAATAACGAACCGTATTTCATTTTAGTCATTATGAACCCTAAAGCCCTTTGCATAAAATTCACCAATGATGGTAACTTTGCCATTAATGGTTACTTCCATGGAAACTTCGAGTTCGTTGGATATTGAGTGATGTTGCCTTGGTAGTTGATATTAATGACACATTTACCCCAAACGGTACGTTTTATGCAGCGTCTCAGTCTCAGGGCAACTTTTCACCACCTCAGCGTTATGGACATTTTCTATGGGTAAACTGGAATAGGCCTATTGATTATTCACCAGCCTACGCAATCTTTACATCACCTCATCGGTATGTACATGTTCTATGGATAAACTAGGATTTTCATTCTTCACCACCCTACGCTAACTTTTCACCACCCAATTAAGCATCATGTATATTTTCTATGGATAAACTTGAAATATTAAATTTTCATCACCCTACGCTGTGGGACCGGTACAGAGAATAGCCTACATGAATAATTTACCTACACGAATGCTGTTAGTGGCGTCAGGCCATTTTCATTCGTCCCAAAGTTCAATAAAAATAATTTCAAAAATCATTCAAAATATGATTGATATGATTGGGGGTCATATTTTGAATGTCGGAGGGCATTTGAAGTGCAACCCTTTTAGGAGACATTTCTACTTTGATTTCCTTCCCGGCTGACATTAAAAGAATGAGAAGAACGCTCATAATTATCTTTCACCTTTACAAAACCCAACCTTCTCTTTGGAGGTAAATACACTGTGAAGCATTATACATATACTCCCACTGAACACAATGGAAGCGGGGATTTTCATATGAAAATAATGAGACGTGAAAAAACAGGTGAAATTGATACGAAGCACTTGAAAGACAAGGACTGTTAAACAAGGTTACTGAAAAATATAAATCCACAGAAATGCCTTATCAAATTAAATTATGCGGGAAATAATCTCTTATTTTACCATGAACAGACAGGCGATTATATTAATGACAGCGTACGGGGAGCGGCGGGATCGATTATCTTTTCTATGGCATCCTACTATCATGGGTGATTGCATCACATATAGTATATTGGAAAATACATTAAGTTTTATTGAAGAATTTCAAACCGTATCATTTCTTTGATTTGAAAATAGATAAAGAAGATTTGTTCACCCGTTACTCTTACCCCATTACATTTGTTATATTGACACAAAACAAAAAAACTTTACCCTTGCGGTCAGATTCCGACATTCGTTACGTGTCAAGTACGGTTCATAGGATAAAAGCCTCCCAATTCTTGAACAAATCTCAATATGTAATGTATAAGATTTTAGTTGACTCAGCTCAGTGTTTATACTTTGGTAAATTGAAAGGGAAACTGGTAACACCGTACAATTGATTTATTTCTTAGGGTTATGGCCTGAAATGGACATATTTCCGTATATAAAGAGCGTGGGAACGGATTAAAAGTTACACAAAAGAAACAGGATTTAAGAAAAATGAAAAAAAAATGGTCGTTAGATTGGAGAAATAGAAGATGTAGTACAGATTCTGTTCGTTTTTTAATATTCTGTATTCTTCAATTATCTGTGTCCTCCTCCCTTATGCCTAGGTCACATTTGCCGCCGCGGCCAAATTCAAAGCAATTCAAATCATGATAAAAAGTTATGAAATTTTCTGTCACTGTACGACATTTCGACCAGTAAATCCGTATCCGGACACTCCTACCCCCTGGACATCCACCCCCGGATAACCACCCCAGTCAACTACCCCCTAGGACAACTACCCCCTAGGGCAACCACCCTCTAGGACGACTACCCCCCGGGACGACTACCCCCGGACAACTACCCCTCAGACAACTATCCCCAAGGACAACTACCCCCCCCCCCCCAGACAACTACCCCTAAGAAAACTACCCCCTAGGACAACTATCCTAGGGGTAGTTGTCCGGGTGGCAGTTGTCCGGGGTGGATATCCAGGGAGTAGGTCTCCTAAGGGGGTAGTTGTTCTAGGGGGTAGTTGACTCGGGGTGGTTATCCGGGGGTGGATGTCCAGGGGGTAGGTGTCCTAGAACCCAGTAAATCATGTGGCAAATGTTAATTGATGATGGGATTTCGTCTTTGTGAAGAAGATTTAGTGCTTTGGGAATGTGAAACGAGTTATTAACTTCATGATTATAAATGATTGATTCTAGGGCAATGCTATTAGTGTCTTTAAGTTCTCAGAGAGATCTACTGTTATTATTAACTCAATCAATAATTCTACTGACACCTCCAACTGATTATTAGTAGTTGTATCATTGTAGAGTTGTCGTGGTCTAGTGGTTACATCAGCGGACTGTGGATCGCATGGTTCCTCACTTCGTGTCCCGCCGCATGACCAACGTCCTTTGGCAAAATATTGATCTACATATTTTGCCACTCTCCACCCAGGTGAAGTACATGTAAACGGATACCCGGTAGGAAGAAATATTGAATAATTTAGCGTCTGATAATGACGACTCAGCTACAACCGCGGTAATAACATGATACTTTTTATATAGCGCAGTAGAGGTATATTAGCAACGCTATCTAAATGTCCATATTATTATTATCATTAGTGTTCAGCCATGATTGATATGGATCTCTTTAAAGCTTTTAAAGCCCCACTGTCCTACTTGCAGCTACTTGCTCCCTCTATATAGAAAACTTCCCAAATCGGTGCCTGTTGGTCCCCCATGATCCTCTTTTCTTATGTTAGTTGAGAGCTGAGTCAATGAGATAGCCACCTGTTAGTGACCTCACTATGTGGTCTAATCCCTTCTGGCCCAGTAGTGTTGACGGTCTTTAAGTGCCAAATTCGTCAAACGGGTTAGATAAACGGGATAAACGATATGAGGTTATTCTTACAATCTTAGTCAACTATTTTATTTGCGAAGAAACGGGGGGCCCCTGCAAAAGGTGAGGACAAAACATGATTATAAAGAGAGAAAAAAAATAGAGTAGGGTGAGGGGTAAAGAGAGTGGGAGAGAATGAGAGAGATGGAGAGAGAGAGAGAGAGAGAGAGAACA